GCATCCCACGGTCCAAACTCTTCAAGCTGTCACCAAACTCAGTACGTGGCAGGAATAATTTCATGCAGAGTAAAATGTGTTTAATTTCACATCCTATAAGAATAATTACTTAGCATAATGCCACTTAAAATGTATTTTTATCTGCAAATGCTAATGAAGCTACAAAAACCTGAATCATCTTTTGAAAGAATTAGGGTATTAAGGGGGCTTCGCCTCCATTCCCTCTTCTCCCATAGTGGCTGCCTGAAGAGAGAAACCCAAACCAGGGGAATAATCCAAACTAGATCCTGCTGTCTTCAATCTGGGTGGGAGCCCAGTGGCTTTGAGGGGAATTTAACCCCACGGGCCTCTCCTGAGCATCCCAAGGTGCTAAAAACAGAGCCCTAAGTTCCCTGGGGGTGTCCAGTCCTCACACAGGTCCCACTGGACAGCCACTAGGAGGGGGATCAGGCCCAGGGCCAATGTTGGCCACCTACGCTAAGGGCTGGGCTAATGGCAGGCCTGTGGCCTTTGGCCTTAAGGATCTTGTGTCTTCGATCACTGGTGTATCCAAGTAATAAAGACCACTATTGTACATCTTGAGGCCTAAAGCAGTCAACAAAGAATAACAAGGAGTAAGGGGGTAAGGGGTTAAAGAAGTGCTTTGCCTTTAAAATTTTTTTAAAAACCTTTTATTTTGAAATAATTGTGAAATTTTGGAAAGGTTGTAGAAATAGTTCAGAAAGTTTCTATCTACCCTACACCCAACTTCCCCTAATTTAATATCCTACATACCATAGTATAATTATCAAAACCAAGCAACTCACATTAGTACAATACTGTTAACTACACTACGGACTTTAATTTGGCTTTCACCAGTGTTTCTTCTAATACTTTTTCTTTTCTAGGATCTAACCCAGGATCCAACAATGCACTTAGCTGTCATGTCTCTTTATTCTCCTTAAATATGTGACACTCTGTCTTTCCTTGTCTTTCATGATCTTGACACATTGGAAGAGTACTGGTCGAGTATTTTTTAGACTGTCTCTCAATTTTGCATGAGTAAATTGAGATTATACATTTTGGGCAAGAAAACTACTACAGAAGCAATGACCTCTTCTCATTGCTTTGTGGAAGCAGGGGCTGCTTTCCAAGCTGGCAGCTAAGCACGGGCATGTGCTGAGGGCCTGAATGAAATCTGCACCCCTCTAGGAACTTGAGTTGGTGGCTCTAAAGAGAATTAGGCACCAAGCTTAAGGGCAGGTGACATGTTTCTCTTACCTGCCCCCTCCTTTCTCTGTTACCTTGGGTGGCAGTGGGAGAAGTGGGAATATTTCTTTGCTATAGGTAGAAATTACTAGTGTTTTTTTAAAAATCCTGTGCTATTGAGATCAGCAGAAAGATAAGGGTTAGCGAGGGAAAGCAGAGTATTATGGATGTTGGTATGGGGAAGGGTTGGGGAGCAGATGCACCAAAACAAAAGTGTGGCAAAATGACCATTTCGTGGTCCGGTGCCGCCATTTGTGGATTCAGCAGGGCTCCGGATAACCAAAGAATGAGATGCAGACATCTTAGGTGGGAAACCTGTGAATTTGTGTTGAGGGTGTGGTGGTAAACACTCCTCAAGCAGCATTATTAACTATGAGGAAGTAGGTTTGATTTCCTGGGTTGGGTAAAACTCAGTGGTGGTGAAAAAAGGATCCTTGGGCAGATTTTAAGACTTGTTTTGGCTTTCTCCCTTTAGAATGGAAGCTCCAAAAGGGACAGGACCCTTGTCTGTCTCGTTGCCTTCTGAAAACCTAGTACTCAGGCCTGGCACACTGTAGAAGCTTAAAAAATATTTATTGATCAAATGAATGAAAAAATAAGTGAATGAATGGAGTATTCGCTAACAAAACATACTCACAGGCACTCATCCCCACCCCACTCAGAAATCCATGACCCCGTCTCTCAGGATGGTTTTGAAAGTCTAGCACTGGCCCTGTGCTCAGGACTCCAAACTTTCTACCCCAAGCCAATTCTTTAAGTGCCTGGACAAGCCGCACTGGGAGGAGACTGGTTTGGGGGAGGTCCCAGGACCAGTGGAATCTACACTATTTGGGGGAAGGTAGAATAAGAAGAAATGTATGGATGGCAAAATCTAAGCTTGGAAAGAGGAGGCAAAGAGTAATCCTCCTTCCAGATGGGCCATGGTTTGGGGAAGCCATTAGAAAGAGGTAAGGCCAGTCATGGTAATGGGTCACATGAAATGAACACATGGTTTTTACCCATGCGTGTGTGCAGATTGAGACGTATTTCCCTTACTGATGGGACTGATTTCATTTTTTCATCTGCTCAGTGCTTTTTCATTACTCTGTTAGCATTGACAGTTATCCATATAATTTAAATAACACAATACTTATAATTATCATCGTAATTTAAATTGAATTATTTAAATTTTCCAGATGCATATTTAGTGAGGACTTTTTGAAAAATACAAGAGAGAAGCAAAGCACCAGAGGGATTTTAAGATTTATTTTACTAAGTAGTATAAAGCAGATAAGAACCGTTTTTTATTGACATATTAATGAAAACAGCCTCCACTATGAGCAGGCACCAGGCACTGTTATAAATAGCAACCCATTTCATCCTCACAGCCCCTCCATGAGGTAAGTCTATTATATCTCCATTCTACAGAAAAGATAATTAAGGCACATGGAATTTTAAAAACTTACTCCAAGTGACAAAGGTAGTAAGTGGCCGAGCTGGGAGTCTAGCTCTAACTACTATACTACAATGCTTCTAGTGTCATCTGGGAAAGGCCTGTGCTTTCTGGAACAGCCTGCATCCTGGGAATGTGAATGAAAGAGTTGGTAAGGATTAAGTTTCTGCTCTTTAACCTTTTAGGGGCAAAATGAACACAGCAAGCACACATCCTTGCATGTGCTTCTTCATGTAGGCAGTATGAACCAGAGTGGTCCCCTCTCCCTGTGAGGTCATAGCAACTTCCTACAGGAGATAGCACATGGCTGTGGGAGCATTAAATGGTAAGATGAAGGGCTGGCCCGGTGGCGCACTGCTACAATGCGCCACTTGGGAGTGTGGCGGCGCTCCCGCCGAGGGTTCGGATCCCACATACAGACCGGTTCCCGCTCACTGGCTGAGCGAGGTGCGGGCGCAGCACCAAGGGTTGTGATCCCGTTGCCGGTCCCGGTCCAGTGCGAGCGCGACACTGAGGGTCGTGATCCATTGCCGGACACGAAAAAAGACAAAAAGGAAAAAAAAAAAATGGTAAGATGAAGGTGTTTGTTAAGGTGTTTATTTAATCCAGGTGCTCTATAATGAAAAAGGAAAATAGAAGCTCTGTATTACCAAAACTTCAAGCAGATCTCATCTTTCATATGACAATGTTAATACAATTATGAGATCTCATGGGATTGGTTTAAAACAGTTCTAGTTTTTGTTTGACTTTGGTATAGGCTCACACATTTACTTGGTACAAATTAGCTCACAGTATTCAACAGGTTTAGATTCTAAATGGAGAATTTGTTCACAAGGGAACAAGAGGAAAAGTATTTTCCTATTAAGTGCTAACCCTGTAAAACATGTCATCTTTATCAAATGCAGAAAGTGCATGCAGGACGGCTTGCGTGCTTACGTCAGAAAGTGGCTTTGTTTCATGAGAGGCACCGAAGTGTTTGCCTCCCAAAGATGAAGGGCCAAATTACTTTCAATTCTGAGAGTAAATGAAGGGAATTTAGGTGATTTCAAATCACTGAAGCAATTCAATGGAAAACAAATGTCTCCAAGATTAGCTGTCATAATAGTTGTTATCATTAGTATATATTTTTACAAATCTTACATATGACTTGAGCCAAATTTGGAAGAAATAGTTATCACATGCACAGAGAATCAGTAAGATTCATAATTTAGAACTAGACACTTAGGTCTTCAAAGAGATCTCTGCCTTCTGGGAACTTAACATTTTAAATAAAAGTGGTTGAACCAAACAGAACAATCACGAGCACTAGCTCTAGGTGGTCTCAGTTTCTGGGAGCCAAAGTCTAATTCGCAACTCAATGAACATTCCAGTGGAGTTGGGACATATTTCCTTCTGCAAAACATAGAAATATGGTTGTGCTTGAACTCTGCTTAGGAGGGGGAAGAAGCAGTGCAACATTTTTTTTTTTTTTTCCCTTTTTTTGTCTTTTTTCGTGTCCGGCAACGGATCGCAACCCTCAGTGTCGCGCTCGTACCGGACCGGGACCGGCAACGGGATCGCAACCCTTGGTGTTGCTCCCGCACCTCGCTCAGCCAGTGAGCGGGACCCGGTCTGTACGTGGGATCCGAACCCTCGGCGGGAGCGCCACCGCACTGCCAAACGGCGCACTGTAGCAGTGCGCCACCGGGCCGGCCCGCAGTGCAACATTTTTCAAATGAAACTTCTAGCAGCTGATTCAGCTAGAATGTAATTTATGCTAATAAGTTCCTGGATTTCAAAATAACTTTTTTTCTTATGACACTAAAACCCTTTCATTTGAGTATATATTCCTAAGTCCAGAATGGGTAGGGAAATTCTCAGTCAAAAGCCAGGGATTCAACTGGCCTTGTCTAAAAGGAAAAAAGAAAAACAAAAAATTACATTCCAGAGGATTGGAGGAAGGGGAGAAAGTTCGGAGTATGTCTTTTAAACAATTTCCTCCAAAACAGTACTTGATTTCACACACTATTTAGTTCTGGAAAAGTTTGTTATAATTTTAATACGGTTGCATTATTTTACAACTTTAATGTGCCAGAGAGTTGATGGTGGAATGTAGCTGCTTTCATTTAACTGTGATAAAAGTGGGGAAAATATACCAGATTGAGCCAAGAAGCTCAATCTGGTCCCAGTTCTACCACTATCTAGCTGTGACATTAATCAAGTCACTTAATTAGTACAGGCCTCAGTTTCTTCACTTATTAAACTAGGTTAGTTGTGGCAGTTATACTAGATGATCCCTTACTAACCCTCTTGGTATTAAGTTCTCCTAAGCCAGTGCCTTTCAAATTTGCTTTTTAATGTTACCCACAATAAGAATTACATTTTATATTGTGACCCAGCACATACATTTATAGATTTATATGTGTATAACATACTATGTATGTGTATATGTTTTAAACACATAGGGGCATGTCTACACACATAAAAAATGAAACTGAAGGTCTCATGAAATATACTTACCCTTGTCACCTCAGATGCATTATATTTTTATTCTATTTCATTAATAAAAAGCAGGTCAATTCCCACCACATTGAAGTCATGACCCACAGTTTGACAATCTCTCTAAACAGGCACAATCCTGCACATTGAGGAACTGCCTCCAGGTGAATACAGGTGACCGAATAGGTTAATGGTTAAAGTTCTGATCATCAAAAGAAAAACTTAACTGTGTAGATGTTAGTCCACATATTGAATGGGTATGTTATAATTTTAGTGAAAAATTATGACATGCTAAATAAGAACAACCACTGAGTACAAGTATTCTCCATCAGTGAACTTACTTGTTTTAAGATCTGCTTAATTGAATCCTTGGTGTTTCATTCTTCTAAAAGCAAGCTTTTTTTGAAACTTCACTTCATCTGCTAGACTGGTTTTTAACTCTTCAATCAAAGGAACCCTCATTTTTTGATAAACAGATCATCTTCTATTCATAAAAAACCCCCTTTAAAGTTTCTGTAGCTTTTGCTAAAATAATTTAAAAGAGCCCCTTGGTTTTTTATATTTACTTTTAAAAGCACCATTAATAATATAACGATTGTGTAATGTTGTCTTTCCATTTCCAAAACCTATTTTAAGGGAAGACACTATAAGAAGATTCTAGTCCTTGAATCTTTTACCGTCTCCTCAAAATCCTCCGTGGACCCACTATTGCAGTTTGAATTCAAGTTTTGGCATGCCAGGGTTTCATAGGGAATTCTTGTGTCTTAGATGATACTCAAGAATCGAGGGTACCAGGTGATTCATTTAGGTTCCATAACACCATAATCTAGGGAAGAGAAAACTGTTTTTTTTGTTTTTTAATCACACACACTTTTGCATGTGAGCAATAACCACAGGTATTAAAGATATTTCCAATAGTTCAAACATTTAGCTCAGAGAAATCTCAAATATCTTGAACAGGTTACATTACAAAATAATCCCCTTTCAGATAACATGTCTAAATAGGAGATGATTATGGTTTGTTTGTTTTTTAAAAAAACACGACATAATCTCCATTTGGGTATTTCAAAAAGTTCATGGAAATATTCATTTTATCTTTCAATTCCATTTCTTCATGAACTATAAAAAATTCTAAATTAAATTTATGAAAGGGTTAAATCTTAGATTTGGCTTATTTCTACTTATCTTTTATTATACCTTAACAGCATTATCCTCCTCTAATGGCAACCATACAAAAAGACTTGAGACGACCTGTTGCTCTGTGAAGCTGGACCACTGGGATAGGAGTATGGCCCAATTAATTGCTTTTGTGTACTTGACTTATCAACTTATCAACCTTATCAACTCAACTTTTGTAATATCATCACAATATCTGTGTTACTGAAAATTAAGCTGCACCCATAACAATTTGGATCTGCAGAAAAGAGCCAAAGAACTCCACTTACAGGTCAATAACTGTTGGCTTCACATTTCCAGTTTTGAAACCTCTACCTGTCCTTCCCACCATCACTGCCTTTTCTTCATTTTTCCAATCTGACCTGAGCTAATCTTTCCAATACATACAATTTCCATCAAATGTGTTACACTGTTGAAGAGCAATCAGAATTTTTTTTCCTGAAAAAACCCTTTTCAATGTATATTCCTGTAAGTTTACTTTCCTATATCTAGGTAAGCACCCTGTACTATTCCTGGGGCTTTTTATAAATACCATCCATGCTGATCCAAATCAAACAGACCTTTAGAGGATACTGACAATGACATCTTCATTGAATATGATCACTTCTAAAGCTTTAGCTCCTTGTTTGCTGCATAATGCTGTGCCAAGATCTTGGCCTTTAGATGTTCCCAGAATCCCTGGAAACATGACTTATTTGTTGGTGGGTATAGCTTTAGAATGGTTTTACATCCGCAACAAAATCTGAGGATGCACAAAGCAGTGTGAGTCTCTTACTGGGCTGGAATTATTTTTCTTAGTTAGAAGAACCGAATTTTAAGTAATAACCTATGTTGGTGCATTTATGAAATACACCAGAAGTAAAACAGATTAAAATAATTTGCTATAGCAGGATTCCTTTTCTTTCAACCTTAGGTATTAAAATTTTTCTTCTGAATATTAAAGTCATTAGCATTTTTAAATTCTAAGGAATACTGAGGAACTCACAATGTTTAACTTTTAAAATATAAATTTAAAAAGCTATTTTTCTTTTTTCATATCCTAGCCCGATGACTTAAAGATATCAGCAGAGTATCATAAAAATAACCCTAACACTCAAAATGAGCTTTATTTAATATCACAAAGGCTAAACATCACAGTTCTTTTTTTTTTTTTTTGTCTTTTTGTCTTTTTTTCCGTGTCTGGCAACGGATCGCAACCCTCAGTGTTGCCCCCGTGCCGGACCGGGGACCGGCAACGGGATTGCAACCCTCGGTGTTGGCCCCGCGCCTCGCTCAGCCAGTGAGCGGGAACCGGTCTGTATGTGGGATCCGAACCCTCGGGCGGGAGCCCCGCCGCGCTTCCCAAGCGGCGCACTATCCAGTGCGCCACCGGGGCGGCCCTAAACATCACAGTTCTTTTTTTTTTTTTTTGTCTTTTTGTCTTTTTTTCCGTGTCTGGCAACGGATCGCAACCCTCAGTGTTGCCCCCGTGCCGGACCGGGGACCGGCAACGGGATTGCAACCCTCGGTGTTGGCCCCGCGCCTCGCTCAGCCAGTGAGCGGGAACCGGTCTGTATGTGGGATCCGAACCCTCGGGCGGGAGCACCGCCGCGCTTCCCAAGCGGCGCACTATCCAGTGCGCCACCGGGGCGGCCCTAAACATCACAGTTCTATCATCAGAAAATACTAAGAGTATGAGAAGAAATAACTTTTCACAATTTCCCTTCAAAGCTTTTAAAATAGTACACTAGTATTTGATTCCCTTCTATTTTGGCTACATTTTCAGTAACAGAACAAAAGCATTTAAAAATAAATATGGGTCCTTTAAAAAAACAAAGGAAAACGAAAAGTCAAAACCAAGAACCAAGCATTCTCGCATCAGTGGGAACAGGGAGGGAGAGGGGCTGAGCAGAGTTGGTTTGTTAGATAGCATGGAAGCCACAATTCCTTCCCCACTTGCCCTCCAGCATATGCCAGCCTTGGTGCCAGGGTGGCAGGGCACTGCAGCATGTGGAGAGGCAGACAGTTTTGCTGGCTTCCACTTGTTCCTCAGGCTGAAGTCCAAGCAGAAGTTGGACTTGCAGGGTTCCTGTCACCCTGCCAATCCATGGCACTCTTGGGACACTGCTAGGAGAGCCAAATCCTGCATGAGAAGTCACCTCCTCCACATTCTCTTCAATGTTAGGGGGTTAGACTAAAGGAAACCCCTTTTATCAGATTTTTTGGTGTTTGTGCACTAGCCAAAGTAAGAGAAAAAAAGAAGGCAATTTAACCTCATGAGATAGAAAGGAAAGGTTTCTTCAAAGTAGTTGACCAGGGAATAAAGCCCAGCATCCCTAAATCTCAGCTCAGTGTACTATTTATTCATTTATCAGTAGGTTTTAGAAATTTAAATAATTATGATCCTATCTACTTCGGGCCATCAGATCATTACTTTCTCAGAGAGAATGGCCCAATGCCATTGGTGCACAAATCCACAAAAATCTATGTGCTACTTGATGATGATTAATACACAAAGAATATACGGAGCTCCATAGTATAGACACAAATTTAAAAAGCAGATATTCTCAAAAGAGGCCTTCATTTGCCATTCTAAGGCTATTAATGAGAAATCTTACTTTTAATAGGTTTCCTCAATCAGCACCTGTGTATGTAGATACTCAGATGGATACTCATATATATATGTATAGATGTTCAGGAAAAAAACATGATCATCTCATATATGCATGAAATCTCTTCTAGGAACCAGTAAAGACAATGAATTTGTAAGGAACATTTAAATTGTATTGTACTTTTTAAAAGAAAAGTGAAAATCATAATCTTACATAATTTCCTTCAAATGGATAAACTTAGACAACTTATCAATGCTTCCTTAAATTTTTACACCACACTGAACTCCAACAGGTTTTTGTTTTAAGGTAAACCAGGTTTTTGGTTCTTCCCTGTGGAGAAGTTACTTTCAAGTCAGTAAAAGTTCTTGGCCCATGATTAAAAGTCTTTGCCAATTAGTACTCAACAACTTCAATTCATTTTTTTCTAGTTCAAGATGAGTAGGAGCCTAATAAGGCTGTGATAAAAGGGCAAAAGGCACTGAGAGCCAAAAGCGGATTAATGAGCTCCTCCATTTATTTGTCTTCCTAACAGCTGAACTGTTACAACTATTGACACTCTTCAAAAGGTTCCGCTCTGAACCCTGTCCAGGCACTGCAGGCTCCAATGGACATCTTCAAATCCAGAGAATGGAGGGGCAAGAGCTTCCCCTGTGTGATGCCAAAACCAACAAAGCCCCATGGATCAGGTAATGAAACTTCAGCTTTTCCCCCTTTGAGATTTATTTACTGGCAGCTGACAAGGGGCAAATTCAGCTCGAATTGTGCAGTCAAGGCCCTGTCAAGCTTTTAGAGGCACCCTTGTCTTGAAGCACCTTCATGACTGGCATTTCGCTCAAAAGCCCTCGGCACTGGTCCTTAACAGCTTATGACATCACAAAGGACACTCCAGACAGATGCCTACATGGCATCCTGCAGCATTTTAAAAGAGAATTAGTGGTTTTAATTATGGTCGTAGTATGAAAGGAAACCATGCAAGCTCCACAGGAGACCTTTGATCAGACCCTTTTGCTAGTACAATGCCACGGAACTGTGACTATTCCTGGTAAGGGGCCTTTTCTTGCTGAATGACTCACCAGTGATCTTTGAATGCAGACAAGCTTCTAGCCCTCCCTCTTCATTAGTGAGCATTTCTATACAGGGGCCTATACAGTGCTTGGAGTCTAGGAGCTATACAATCGGGGGAAAAAGAATCCCTACAGATTCTAGCCTCTACTTAGGAAGTGCTGAAGGACTCTGAGTGACTTTATTCATTAAAACAGGTTGCTATTAATTAGCTGTCATAATAAAATAAAGAACTATTATTTGCATTTCTTACTATGTTCTCTTTAGTAATATGTATAAAAGATGCTTGTAACAGAAATGAATTTATTGAACCACTTCCCCATCTACCCAATCCCCGCCTTTTTCTTTCCTTTTTTCTGCATTTTGGCAGCAGGAGCCTACTAATTATTGGGCCTAGATCTATGAATCCAAATAGAAGTAAAACAAATATAAAATTAAGTAAGCAAATACAAAATCCTTTTTACTTGCCAATCAGTTTCTGCAACTGAAATAAGCAACATCAAATTAACTTTTCTTTTTAGTGATTTTGGAGAACTATACAAGACAATAAAACCCAAACTTTTAAAAGTATCACTCGGTGTTTAGCTTGAGTGTGAGATTATGTAACAACTATAGTTACTTTTTAAAAAATGTATTCTAACTTGGAGCATAATAAGATTTATTCTTTTAAAAACTATTTCACTTTTGGAAAAAAGAAAATGCCTTTGTTATTAACATTTTAAGAATTTAACCTTTAAAATTCTGTCAGCCAGTTAGTTCAGTTGGTTAGAATATGGTGTTATAACACCAAAGCCAAGAGTTTGAATCCCCATATCACCAACCAGCCACCAGAAAACAAAAAACAAAAAAAAAAACTTTAAAATTTATCTCAGTAAGCATGGTCCTTAAAAGCTTCATGGTTGATACATTAGGTATATGAAAATAAAGTCCGTTCTCTTCTAGAATCTAATAAGCACAGTCCATTTGGTGAAAGACTGTGGAAGTAGGACTTTATGAAAACTTCTCACTGAAATGCTAATTTGTTAAAATGAGATAAACAGAATTTTGCATAAATAGCACATCTCAGTCACTAAACACCCCATTAAACAGTACTGCTGTACCATGTTACTTATAGCTGGAAGGTGACTTAGTTTCCAGTTTTTTATACAGTTTCTTAGAGGAAAAACTTTTGGACTTCAGAATTTTGGAAGCTGAATGACAAGCAAGTTTTTCACATTTTGCTGTCTCAGACATTTTTCATATTTCTCAGACTTTGTAGTTCTTTTCTTAGGTGCTTTAGAGCAACCAAAATATCAGTCAGCTGTGGATCATTCCGTGCTTTCTGAGTGTAGAGACGAAAATGTCTGATGGTTTCGGATAACAGGACTTCAGGGTTTGCATCTCTTTCCCGAAGACGCAGCATTCGCTCACAGGCGATGGCATAGTTCTTGTGCCAATTCACTGGGTGTTCCTTTTGTAAATAGACTATCTCCTTATAGAGCTGGAAAACAGCAAAAACATTGGTATTTCAGTGTTGTCCCTTGACTTTTTTTCATAAAGAGAAAACACAGAGGAATTAATAACACGAGAAAAAAAAAATCCAAGCAGCCTACAGCAAAAATCTAATCGTTGTTAGGCCATGCAGAAAATGCAAGGATGTTACTGTAATTATTACAGTGGCAGGAGGCAAAACTGCTTCTGAGGTTTTTGGATGTAGCAGAGGTAACCTAAGACACATTGTGTCAGGACAAAATGCTCTTCCTCCAGAAAGATGTTCTGGGAAAGGGATTTAGTTCTAATTCATGGAAAGCCATTTACTCAAAAGGCAGAAAGGTTGAAACTCTAAATTTAGCTATTGGAGAAAAAAAATAGTTTTCTTTAGAAGACTGCATGGAAAAAGAACTTGAAGGAATTTAAATTTTGTTTCACATTATTTACATAAATTTCTCTCTACAAACAGTAATAACAACAAAACAATCCAAAAAAATCCATCATCTAGTAGGCTGGGTATAATAGACTTTAAGAGACATCCTTAAAGTGATATATTTAAAAATCTTCACAGTATACTATAATTTACAATTTTGATAGTTAAAACTTTGCCCACAGGAATTCAGAATTTTGTTTTTCAACATTAGAGATAGGATTAATTGGATAGAGTTAAAATGTTTGATACTGAGTTTTCCAGAGGAAACATGTCAAAATTTAGCAAATAAACAAAAAAGCGGACACAAATCTGCAAAATGGAATATTATATTTGCTTATGTGGGAATTTTACAGCCTTCCTGGGGATTGTAAATTTTGAGTGGATTCCTAAGAGTTTGCCGGTAGACTCTCTGAGAGCACAGAACAAGCACTAATGCTTTCTCCAGGGACAAGTGCTTTTTGAATTAGAACTGTATTCATGACATAGTTTCTTTGAAAGGGACCCAATTATATTATCTGTTACCCCTTCTCCTTACTCCAGAGCAGACAAATGCCCATCTATTTTAAAAAGTATCCTCTTGAACAATCCATGTTTGATACATCTTTGGATACTTAGCAACACTCAGTTTTCAAGCTGCCTTTTAAAGTGACCTTCCCCTTAGTTCTCTTCATCTTACAAAATAGGAAAGTGTCATCATGCACTTTCATATACATCAAAGCTGTCAAGTCGGCCTCCTCCCCTTTTATTCTCATGGTAAAATATTCTAAGTTTCTCTACCTTTCCTTACCACCTTTTTTTCTCTACTGGCTGCTTCTCTTCCTGGGCTCCCTCTGATGAGGGGTGCATGTAAAGTGTGCAGCAAGCTGCCCAACACAAAATGCGTGCTCAGGATGCTGACTGTTCAAAATCCTACTAAGGTTTTGGAGTTTAAATCAGACGCCAGCACTACAAGGAGCACTTCCCCAACTGCTTGAGAGAATGAGAGGCTCACTCATGACCTGCCTGCTGTAGTCCTCAGGCATCTGAACAACCACACTCCTTCTTCTAGAACCCTTTGTTACTGATGTATCATCAACTTATTTTGGATGACCTATTAAGCTGTATCCTAAGAAGCCCATTATTTCTTATTATGTGGAATTACATTTCCTCTTCTATGGGTGTGTTATAGTGACATTAGTCTTGGCAGACTATTCTATTAATTTGGGACATCTTCAATGTATTCAATTTATTCCTAAGGAGTTGGATATTTTCTGTCCCCCCACTACACCTGAACTTACTATTCTGTATAAGCTATTGAGTGGGATAATATAAATAATAACAAAAACATCCTTTACACCTAACAAGAATATTCTTGAAAAACTAGTACTGGCGGTGGATTTGTGTTGATCCATCAAGTAATTGACCTCATGTGTCTTGCACACACTGTCACACATCTGAAGACATATGTGAAAGAAATACTGATAGTCTGCATTCACTGAAAGGAATAAAGCTTGCTGGCCTAAAGAGATAATAAATTCACAAATCAGCTTCAGTAGTGGCCTAACAACTGACCACAGAAGAGGTCACTGATAAGAATATGAAATACTAGTGAGTCTGATTTCTCCCAACTAAATACTGCTTGTTTTCACAGAATACAGAATATTACAGATGAACAGGATATGATATGACCAGTATATGAGAGAGAATCTTTAAAAGTTTAAAGCCCATATTCCTTTTTTTTTTTTCTTTTAAGAAAAAAAATCAAGACCTGGAAAAGTTAACTGACTCACAGTCGACAATTTTGGCAGAGTGGGCCTAAACCCGACCGCCAGACGTTTTAGACCGCCCTTGCTTTAGTGGGGCGTGTAGGAGGGCTCTGCTTTTGCCCCTGCAGTTTCCTCCTTATGGACTGCCCTCCCCTCCCTCTCTTGTGTCCTGCCCCACCATCTGTCTGCCTAGCTTCTTCTGATCTTTCAAGGTGACACTCGGTGATACCTCCTCCCTCACCACTTACCCCCAGCTCACTCATGTCCAGCTCTCTCTGTTCCTGTATCACCTCTGCATGCTTCTCATAGCATTTACAAGACCAAACTGTGAGTGAGGACTGGATCTTCTGTCTCCCTCTCTAGCCTGCAACCCTGTTGATAGCAGAGACAAGGCTTGGTTGTTCCCAACACAATAATTTAGCAGTGCTCAATAAATGCTCTGTGAGTGAATAAATAAATAAACAACAAACCAATGACTAAAATTTAGGAGTAGAATTAGTCATACTGACTGGACACCATGCTATTTTGACTTACTACCATGCCCTGGCTGAGTGGAGCAGAATACCTCAGTTGCTCATACAATAGGTCCTAGGCTCTGTTTTTGTTGGTCCTTGCCAGGATATTTGTTTCCTATAGCGCAGGCTACAAGACCTTCTCTGCAGGTGTCTGAAGAGTCCAGTGCTATCATTCACTGAAGAGCAGAGACTTGTTAAAATAGTGCTAGAGCAAGCCTCTCATCTGTGTTCCCATTTTCCATCAGAGGACCCATTTGTGCATAAGCCTTAGTGTGGCTATGTTTTCTGAAGGCTCATTTGGCCCCTGGGGCCAACAGCTGGAAGACAGAGCTTCTCTCTATGACCCTTTATCTTCA